AAGTCAATTGGAGAAAGGTCCATCGAGGATAACTAAACAATGGCCCTAATGTGATATCAAGAGGAGGAAATGCCTGCAGCACTGATCACTAGAAGAAAGGAAAGAGGAACAGATCATTGTTGTATTTCTTAAGCTCTTTCCCCTGAGCTGTTGGTGCTGGCCATTGTCTGAGACAGGCTAATGGGATGCTCAACCAGCATGGGACTGCTTAAACTGGTGTTTTTATGAGTTTCCAGTGACAACATCTGAGCTTAAATGGGTTTCAACACTACATTTAAAAGAAATAATGGTAACATATTACACAGAGAGTGCGGAGCACCACAGCTGGGTTTGGATCTTGTTTTGAATCCAACTCTTTTGTTTCTCCTTTTGAGGAGAAATTACAATTGCTCAGTCTATGTCTTTCCTATCTAAGGAGTTCTGCAGCTGTATGGGAGGGATGGCAAGCACTGTCACTATGAAATAAGAAGAAACTATAAATGAGTCCATGCCTTCCATGCCCTATATTTATCAGACCCAAAAAAATAAAGAAATCTCTTGATATAATAACCCAGATGAATGAAAGATTTCTTTAAGAGGATCTTGACATTTTGGTCACATCTGATTAATTGAATGCTATGGTCATCGTTCCAGAGGCTGTATATTGAGAATGAATTTGCCTTGTAACTATCTGGCTCTAAAACTTGATTGAAAAACACAATGAAGTCTTTATGGCCTTTCTGGACTCTGACAATTTTCCAGTTACCAAAAACTATTGACAAGAAACTCCTCTTGCTTTTCTGTTTATTTCCACATTTCACTGTGCTTGTTTTACTTAATAATGCATTTTAAGGATTAAAACTCTCTCCAACCTATTTTTTCATCCCAGTGCCATTAACATAGATATTAAAATGAGGTTTTCAGTTAAAGATAAGCAAATTCTTTTTGCCTAATTTTGACCTCACAAAAAAAACCCAACAAAAAAAACCAAACCACAAACAAAAAACCAAAACTAAAACTGGATGAGATGAGAAGTTCAGTTTGACCTTTTTATGGTATTAATGAGAGAAAAGCCAGTGGAAAAACAGATTGCAGCAAAAAATAGAAAATAATTCAGAAGTGAGAACATGTGATGAGGACATGAACCCTAAGATCTCACATATATGCTGAGCCAGTTTCTGTGGAATGGTGGACAGTCTGTCATCTAGCATGCAAAGTTCAACCTATCAGAAAACCCTACAACCAATCAAGTGAAAAAAAAAACAAACCCAGAAAAACCCAAATAAATACGGCTAGGGGAAATCATAACTTGAATTTACAGGAAAATGTAATTCATGGTAATTATGCCAATAAGAAGAAGGCTGCTAAGGAGTGAAATGGATCACAGGTTTTGCCAAACCCCAATAGTTTTTAAAAATCTAGCTTTATATAAAGTAACCACCTGGTGGATGATTTCTATATCTATTTTTACATTCAGAACAAATGTAGAAAAACAATATGAAATGGTGGAGGGATTAAAAATATACTTACTAAATCTTAATTAAGAAAGATTGTAGGAACAAAAATATAGTGCACAGAATTATAAGCTCTAAGGTAACATTTTAATTACATTGTGTAAGTGTTATATCATTTAGAATTAATGTTATATATATTATAGGTCTTCCAGCATTCAAATTTTTTCGAAATAAAAAAGCCAGATGCCATTGAAGCAGTCTCCATAAAGCACCTCTAAGTGAAATCCAAAGACATTTAACAAAGGGACATTATTGATGAGTTGTTTCTAGTATAGTCTGCCAATCACCTAGGGAATTTTCATCAGCAGAAATTATCTTAGAATTGTAGTGTAGTAGATCTTGTTTAAGAAATCAAAATTTGTTTATTCACTAATAATAGAGAAGGAGAAAAAAAAGACTCTACAAAAATACAGCGGGGATATAAATTTCATGAATTACATACCTAAGTGTCATGCACTTGTTGGAAACCTGCCAAAAAAAGAAGATGCAAATAAAGCTGAGGAATTCTGTGTTGCACTGAAATAGTCATCTTGTGATGCTATTCACGAGTTCCCATACTATACAGGCAACTTATAAATATCTTCTAAAAATAAAAAAGAAGCTTTTTAAAAAATTCTGTGGACAGTACAGCCAAATGAATACTTTCCCCATGCCCACCTCACCCCAAAAGTGCTCAAGGCTTATTAAAAATAACAAGAGAGTTACAGCAACAAAAATAGAAGAGGTAGAAGCAAAGGTACTTGTTTTTTTTCAGAAAGTCAGGCATACATTATCATATTTCCCACTCCGAAATATTTGGGGGTCTATAGAAACATTTCAGTCCAAGATGAACATAGGCTAGAAGTCTCCATGATAATTATAAATGCACAAGCTTTATTAAACTAGAGGTGCGATACTCAATAATTGCTTTCACATGGTAAAGTCATGCAGGAAAATGTTGTTCTAGATTCCCATTCCAGGTCTCCCATTTAAAGTTTGCATGACTGCAGAGTAGCCAGGGAATATCATGGGACCATATAACTGCACATAACTTCTTTCTCCCCACTGACCTGAGGATGTCTCCTGGGTACTGGAAACCTCAGTTTAGCTCCTTCCTCTGCTTGAGACTTGAACATAACTCGAATATGCATTTCAAAACTTCAAGAGAGGGCCCAGACCACAGGTTTACAGTTATCTGAATTTTTGGACTATACTTCTTCCAAAGTAGGATGTGCAACACGGAACCTGACAGTCCTGCTTCCCAGGGGAGCAGGCAAAAGCTGAGGTCCCACTTGGTCAGCACTGATGGGGCAGTTCCAGTAGGCAGGACCCAGGAACCTGCCACAGCCTGAGAAGGACTCTCATCTCTGAAACACTAGGAGGGGATGGCATCTCTGAGGAGAATTGCTTCAGTAGGAGAGGAAACATAAACTTGCATCCCAGGACAGTGTTCTGACAGATGAGCTGCAAGATAAACAGGAAATCCTTCTGATAGACTTTTCAAAGCCACACTTTCTATCCCTGCCCTATTTTCCTTGTCTCTCTTCTACCACTTCCAAAAATAAAATGTTCCAACAGCGAAGAACTCAATCTGTTTTGAACACAGCAACTTCAGTTCATCATTCCCTCGCAGTCTGTACCACAGAGTGCAATCTGAGATGGCTCTGCTGGGACTTTTGTGTCTTCTCAACACAACAATGAACACATTTACATACAAAGCTATATGAATAACAGTGGTCTGAAAAATGCAGTATTTCAACTATGCCAAAATCTCTTTTCTCACACTGTGTCCTCAATCAATGATGAAATACAGAGAAGGCAGAAATAGCATTAATTTGCCTCTCTGACTGCTTTACATATCCCCTCATATCTCAGTGGGATTTCTGGAAATAATGCAAAGCCTCTCCAGTGCTTGACGTGCCGTACCTCCAAATATGACAGAAGAGCTCTATAGGCAATAAGCAGGAAAATTTGCATAAAAATGGAATTTTCTCTCTCCATACAGAGAATATTCCGTGTCTGGCAAGCAGTATCAGCCTGAATTTGCATACATTTCTTTGCAAACAGTAATACAGGCACTATCACATCCATTCTGCTGCTACTGTGATAAAAGCAAGCACCATTTAGCTCAACTGTTATGTATTGTTCAGTGAACAGGTTGTTTTAGGACATAACAAAAGACATCTACCTTTTGCAAATGTTTCTAAGGATAAACATGTGCAAATTTTTATAAGAAGAAATCCTTTTTTTCCAACATATTTTTCCATTTGCTCATCAGCTTCTTGATTTTTTTCTGTGGAGTAGCAAAACAAAGCCATGCTATGTTTTCAGCAGGGCTGTTTTCATAGTAGAACAAGTTTCAGAGTTGTGACTTGGTACTCTTCCATTATTAAAAACATAAAAATAAAAAACTGATTCCTCGTCCTTCCTTGAAGGAAGGAACTGGAAGACACAATTTCCAGTGGTATTCCTGGTATCTCTGTGAGCAAAAAAACAACAATAGCAAAAGTTTAGCATACATAATAGAGGAAGGAAGAGACAATGAAAGCTATGTTTGTGTTTATTTTCTTCAGTGTATGCACTCAACTATCACTGACTTCAATGCAAATGCCATTTTCCACAACATCTAAAGAATGAGACTGGTGCTGTAGGAGCCATACCCTGAAGTAGGAAGTGCAGTATAAAATTAGTCAGGCAAACAATCAACAGTCTGCTCTGAAGCCACCACTGTGTGGGGTGGCAATGTACAGTCTCTTTTTGCCAAATTGGCATTATTAGGAGTTTTCCCATATACTCTTCTGTTCTCATTTTGTTTTAAATAAATAGAATTCAAATAGAAAAGCAGTAAGTCCCCTAGTTACAGTAAAACATATGTGGACAAAACAGAATAAAAGTTAATTTCTTATGATCTTACATTCAAAGAAGATAAAAAGCTCGTGCTGGGACTTGGTGTGGCCTTTTGGAACATAACTTGCTTTCCCAGCTTACTTGCCTGACCTCTGTACTGAATGACAAAACCTATCAATACAATATGCAGAAATGATGTCACCCTTTTGGTATGAAGGGTGAGGGATGGCTCATTTGGGATATTTGTTTTAATGATATCACAGTCACACATCGTGTGATTTGAATCAAATAGAGCTTAAAAAACTATTGATCTATCTATCAAAATATTTTTTTTGTTTTTGGTACTGCAGTATGCTCACTAGCACTGTTACCATTTAAATTACTTCATAGCTGATGCAGTAAACATGTTCAAAGATGTAAACACCTCAGATTTATTTAAAAATTGAAACAAAACTATCTGTCTCAAACAGCAACAAAGAATTAAAAATCAGTTCCCAGTAAATGCAATGAAAAGTCACAAGTGGCATCTGCAAATTCACTGTGAATCTAAATCATCTGTCAGATCATCATCTGAACCAGATCTGTCAATAAGACTCATTTTCTTCACAAAAACTGCACCTCCAAAATATAATTGCTCAGTTTATACCTGTGACCATAATAATAAAAAAAAACATGATGAAAACATGATTAGCTCAGTTGGTAGGAGCATGGTGCTAAAAACACCAAAGTTTTGGGTTCAATCCCCATGTAGACCATTCACTTAGGAGTTGGACTCTTATGATCCTTGTGGGTCCTTTCCAAATCAGAATATTCTGTGTCTGTGATCCCTTAAAAATTCATTTTGGCATCATCTGTAGCTTGCATGTGCTGAATTGAACAGCATCAGCATAAATTTCACTTTCCATAGGCTTTACAAGTTGATAGCAATGCTGTAGGATCTCAGTATTATGCATAATTAATAACAGATAGGCATTACAATAAATCTGAATTAATACAATAAATTAAAATATATTAGTCTAAATGATAATCCCTAAATTAAATTTTTCTTTTTATATCAAGTTTTCATTATACTTACCTGGTTTATCACCTCTATTTTCAAATTCACAAAGGAGTAAAATTCTCATGAAAGGCATTGCTAGAAGTATATCAAAGATACCAGTAGCCCCCAAATTTTCACAGCTTCCTTACTTTAGTCTCAACACCATCCATCAGTGTTTCAAATGAAGAGCATAAATTAGTTCAGGATATCCTTGTTCTGAAAAGCAGTAAAGAAAAAGATCAACACAGATCACTAGTAGTTGTTGAACTAGCACACAAAGAAATAAGAACTTAGGCTATTCTCCCACAGTATGAGGTCAAAACAATTTTCTTTTGTATGCAGTCTCTACATGAAGGAAACTACAGGGATATCTGTCATGGATGATACCTGGCATAGTTTTATAACAAAAAGACTGTTCTAGGAATGTATTTATTCAGCATTTGCCCTACACCCAGTTGGTATAAGCATGTGAGTTTATACATCCATTTTGGTTCCTCTTAGTGAGCTCTGTGGGCTTAGATGACAGAATTTTCTGAAGGTAAAACTTATCTGTATCATACATACTTCTGCTGTATTTACTGTGATCTATTAGCATTGCAGTGATGTCTGCAGGATCCTGCCAAGTATTAGTCTACATCTAAAAGGTGCACTGAGAAATATTTTTCATAATACTTGCATTTAGTTCATTTAACTGTAACTGTCATCTGGTTCCAAAAACTGCACCCTGATACGAGCAGTTCTTAATTTAAACCAACTTCTCTCTACATGTGTGAAAAAAACTGTCACTATGGTAGCAAAACACCTAGGATAAACTCCTGGGCCATTGAAAAAGCTAGTTTTACCAGTACCTTCAGGAGACCAGCATTCAGTCTTCTGCTTTACAAAACAACAGATAATGAAGCTTTTGTTAAGTGTTCTGGCCTACCTCTGCTCTCTGGTGGATGTTTTCCTTGGTAAATTTGCCACCTGTATCAGAAAAAAACAACTTATTATTACCAAAATAAAAGACAAGACCCTATATCTTTACAACACATGTTTCCTTTAATAGAAGATAATGTGTTTACAGTCTCTGTGCTTCCTCATCTTGCTTGGACTTCATCACTTTGGCTTATCTCCCATGCAACTTGTGTTCGTAAGTTCAGTAGTTTACACTGGAAACAGTGTAGTCAAAGAATATTCTTCATTACACAGGCAGAATTTCATATGTGCTCTGTATTGATGTATTTTCCTGCAACCAGAAAAAAGGACACATAAACCTAAGTGTTTTGGCACTCTATTGGTATAAAACTACAGCATCCCACTTTTGAAAACAGTTCAGTCACTTTTCTGAATGAGTTCCACACAAACAAGAGAGGGTGTTTCTGATGTAAAACCCAGATGCACAAGCCATCCCTCAGTGATGAGAATGCAGCACTGGCCAAAGTCTAGTCCTTAAGGAGCAGAACGATGCTGTGTAAAACATGGACAAATAATACAGGATTACAGTAACAGTATTAATGGTAGAATACTACTTGCTTCTTATGCCAGACACAGAAAACACTTGTAGAGGCTTAGTAGATCCCCAAACATTCAGCCCAAAATCTGAGCAGCTGTTAATGGTTTGGATGTATTTCTGCTGTTGGTAAACACATTGTTTCTAAGTATGAAATCATTAGAGGAGTGCTCTCAGCAAAGCAGATGCAAAGAAGCATCACCTTTTCTCATTGAGTACCTGCTCTCTTCATCAAGAGCTCCTATGCCATCTCCAGGTGACCATTCCAGAAAGATGGACAATACAGCTAGATTGCTGTTTCTCACACATCATCCAAACCTCAACCCTGCCTCATGGGTGCCAGAGATAAAGCTCCCATTAACTCAAGATGGGATCAAATTTTTCAAATTCAGCAAGTTGCTCCTAGGAAAACCCACTACAGGTGGAAGTAGTCAGGCTATTGTTGAGGAAGTGAGTCATGACATATGGTTAGGTGACCTAGAGTGGACAATTCAAAGGTTATTATCTGCCCAGGTGTCCCCCAGTGGGCATACTGTCCTGCAAAACATTCCTTTCAAGATGTGAAAGACCCCCACTGCTTTGGCTGTCTGCTCTCAGGCTTAATAGAAGATTGATAGCTTAAACACTATGCTCACAGCAACATTATTAATAAAATAGGTGCTTAGGGTTAATAAGCACATACAGTTACCTCAAACCACTGCAGTCCTCTTTGCGAGCGAGTAATGGTTATTTCCATCTTTTGGCATTTTATAAGCAAATGGCACTCTCATTACAGCTGTCCCCTGAATTAGTAACACTTCCATCACTGCCAGGACAATAGCATTGGTTTTACAAAGCAGCTCCTGACTTTCACTGCCTCTTGTGCAGGAGCAGACATTTCCTGTACCTGTTGCAACTTAAAACCTGAGTTACAGGTACTCACTACATTTAAAAGTCAGATCCCAGACATTGGCTTATGTGGATTATCAGTAAATCCTACAGAATGCCACAGGTCTAAATGTTTTCTTTCAAAGAAGGTTAAAGGAGAGAAGGAAGAAAAAAAATTCATTTTTATTACAACTTTACTGTTGTGGCTGGATGGAAGTGGGAATTTTATAGTTGTCCTAACCAAGTTATTCTTACTTTTTTGTGGGGTGGTGAGTTTTTTGGATAAAATGTCCATAATTTTATCTAATTTCTGTGAGTTTTACACTAATGGCTGTTCCTCAAAATAGCACAGAACCTGAGTGAATCCATCCCATAGATCCACTAACACTAACTTATAACTGATGCAAGCATTTGGGATTTGCAGTTGCAGAGAAAGCACAGAAAGCAGAAAATACCCAGGTAGGTGTGAGATACCAAGATGTCCAGGGAGTACAACACAAATTTTCAGAGTCAAATATTGTAAATTCTACATCGACAACTTGCAGGCTCATTGAGAATCAGAAGAAAAACAACAGCACTGAGATAGGAATGACAAGGGAGAGATCCCCATACCACTCCCTTATGAAGAAAACTGAAATAGAGTATTGCCCTGATGGGAATTTTCTTTTAAAGTGGCTGTAAATAAGCTGCAATTAGCACAGAGTTAATAAGATACAAAATACTACTTCTTATGCTATTACTTTGGAAAAACTCCAGAACTTCACAATTAAAAAAAACCCAAAAAACAGAACCATAAAAGTGTATTCTAATCTTCATTTGCAGTTTTGTGAGTTTATGTATTTTCCCTGGAATACTAATCTCTATTTTATTTATTCGCATTAGAGTGATTTAAAAAATTCCTCCTTAGACATGTCTCATCATGTCATAATTATTCATCAATATGAAGGCTTCTAACAGCCTCTGGTTACAATGCCATGAAGTTTTCTAATAAATTATAAAGTGAAAGGATAATTTGATCTCCATAACCGATTAATCTTTGGCTTCTTAGCAAAACTTAGTCTCAAAAAATAATGTGTCCCCTAGATGGACTACAATCAGTTCAGTTCACTCTTTCCCTGGAAATAATCAACATATCCAAATGCTTTCCAGTTCCAACCAAACAGGACAAGCCATAAAGGGCATATGGAAAGAGGGTCTGAAGTAGCTTCTTTGAACTCTCAGGTCTTCTTCAACAGGAGACCAGACCAATGAGTTAGCATCTCAAAATGGAGACAAAGGAAAGATTGTCATGAGCATGACTTAGGTTTGATTTGGAGCAGGATCTCATGCATTTTCTACAGATCTTTGGCTAGCATTTCCTGAGATCAATGGAAATAGTCCATTAACTTCATGGCTACTGGTGTGCATACTAGGAGAGGAGACACAATGTTATTATATAAACAATAGGAGCAACCAACATAAACATTTGGACTTGCTACAGTAGGTAATCAAGTTGACAGCTGTGGATTGAATTGTGGGGGTATATGAGCCCCAGGAGTAAGTATCCTTAAGAAATACCTAATTTTGTGCATACTAGTCTAATTTGGATCAACCCTTTGTAAGACTAAATATTGGGATTTTGTTTATTTAAGCTTAGGTGTCTGCAGTACCTACAAATGTATTCTACTGTATGCAGACAAGGTCAGTGAGATGTTTCAGGCATCAAGGGGGAAGCCCTCACATTTCTGGAATGGTAAAGATTTATAAAGATTTTACTGGCCTGAAGGAAAGAAAGAAAGTGAAAACATCTGCCAGAATCATGAGTGGATTGTTGGCTAAATTCATTCAGCGGAGGAGTCTGAAATAGATCATCTCTGTCTTAAGAAGTAGGCGTTAGTGGAATCATCAAAAATAATTACTACAGAGGAGTCCAGGACATATCTACAGGGAATAAAACTAATCCAAAAATATAAATTAAATTCACAAAGTATGAATAGAAAAGCCGGGAGTTCTTATATTCCTGGACTCACACAATGTACCAACCTTGCTGAGGTCTTATGAAACAATAAGAGAAATATTTTTTGAGTCTTGAATAGTACTTATGAACATGTCAGTAAAAGAGGGAAAGTTGCAGACAACAGAGGTTGCTGCAAATACAACTGTGATCACACTACCCAGATCTTCACTATTATAAAACATCCATCCAAAGAGACAAGCTTGGATTTCATAGAATCACAAAACATCCTGAGTTGGAAGGGACCCTCAAGGATCAGTGAAGTCCAACTCCTGGCCCTGTACAGGAAGGACAGCCTGGTCACATATGAACCTGAGAGTATTGTCCAAACACTTTTTGAACTCTGGCAGGCTTGGTGCTGTGGTGAC